TTAATAAAATCCATCATCTCTACATCTTCTAAAGCAAAACCAATGTGTGTCCAAAAGGAATGCAACGGTTCAGGGTGGTAAGGGTGACTAAAGAAAGTAGATACTAGCCACTCTAGGTCGTACTACCTCTCTGCGTTCCTGTGCCTTCTGCAGCTTCTTGAGGATGTCATCTTGTGTGAGGTTCTTGTCCTTGGGTGGGGTCTGGGGCTTCAGAGGGGTTGTTTCTGCTGAAGCTGGCTTGAGGATCACCTCATAGGCCAGGCCACTCTTTCTTTCTTTACTACCTTCTGAACACACAATATTTTAAGATGTTCATGGAATGGTAGGGTGTTACATTGTGAGGGAACTATTACAACTGTGGGAATCCTTGACAATCCAGGCCCAATATAAAGATTCTCGTGCTGGTTACAGTAAAAGTAAATTGGCTGAAGTTAACTAGCAGAGCTTGAGCCGACTGTTTATTAAGGTCAGTGGACATATGGGCTCATTATCAATAATTGTTTTAAAAAAGCAGTTGGCCTGCAACACTTCTGGATAGCCAATTCGATTCAACTAGCCAGCTACGACTATTGTAAGCCTATGTTAAAGTGGGAGTTAAGATCATCTTAGCGCTAAGATCGCTTCGTGCAAGTGGGCCGAGATATTCAAATTTGACCCAAATGAATTAACGTAAGTCTCATAGTCTGAGACAAGTGAAATTCAGAAAGGGCCAGTGACATTTCCTTGTGGACTATCATTCTTATCATAAGATAGATGGCAACTCTGCATATACATATCACTCATGTTCTAGGATAAATAATTGTCTCAACAACTTTGTATACATTACTGTCAGCTCTATCATGTTATACATAATACTTAATGATAAAGTCTCGTAATTTATTTGAAAACTTATTTGTGTAGAAAAAATATGTGCATAAATAATGTCTTTCGTAGGCAATTATATCAGCAAGATCAATTTGATATTAGGATAAAAAATGAACTTTGTTGCATCTAAAAGACAAACACATGGTCACATTGGTGCAAGTGGTGGAGAATGTTGTGGTCAGTGACACAAACACACAGATACTACATCGCTAGAAATACACAACACATATCCAGCAGCTACTGTCTTGTAAAGAAGGATTCAACACAAGACACACACACACTATGTCAACAGAATGATTAACCAGGAGGGAGGGAGGCAACTTATTATTCAGACGTCAGATCTTTGGGGGGAAGGGAGAGGAGAGAAAGAGACCTGGAATGCTTAACTGAATTATTGTGATTGATATCATGAGCACCGATCCACACAACTGAGATACGATGACATGCATCATTCAAGTCAGCGAGTCTGACAACCCGATCCCATTAGTCGCCTCTTATGACAAGTTATTCAAGAATTCATGCAAACAAAAAGTATGACCAGGTTTTGTTTAGAAGTTTCATGGTTGGTCATTCACTTGGGAAGTCAGACGTTCATGCTGCTAATGCTAGAAATAGAACATATTACTTCCCGAGTCTAAACTGGTAGGAAAAAACATCAAGCAATAAAATAATGCACTTGGGAGAAAATACATCTGCAGTCTATAACTTCATCCACTAGTCCAAAGCCCTAGTCAAATTTATTTTTAGCCTGGTAAGCATGGCTAAAGAAAGTCCATACACCAACACTAAATCAACTTAAAATGATTTTAAGTGACTCGTTCGAGCAAGAAGAATCAAACATTTTGGACACAGGCTGCATATGAATAGTGACAAAAAAAAGAGAAGAGATGTAAGAAATCCACACACTAAACAAGAACATGAAAATATCACAGATGGAGAAAAAAACATTTGACCACACAGGAGAAGAACAGATATTCAAACCTTCCTCACTGGAATGCACAGCAATAAAACAAAGAAACGAAAGATTTTGATGGAAACTCAAAAGCATCCAAAATAGCATGACAAAGCTTGACATTTAAGCGCTGAGACATTTGGAATGATATTGATCAGTTGAAGCAAAACTGCAAAATAATGGCTTTACAAAAAAATACCTATTGTGAAACGAACTTGATAATTGCATTGGACATTGCTGGTGGAAGCAGTTTGTCAAGACAGCCATGCAGTCACATCAAATACATAGCTACCTTTTCCTTTCCACAAGATAACAGCATCAAATGTGCCTCTGTGGTTAGGGTGGATCTTGTGGGCGATGGGCTTTTTAGGGGAGTCACGGAGACAGAGAAAAATACTCAGCCAGTTACACACTGGATACCAAACGCAGCATTAATAGGAGGAAAAGTCAATGAATCGACAAGTTGGCAGACAAAAGGCATATAAACAGACAATTACTGTGTAACATGTCACATTTCATTGAAGGCAACGTACCTCATCTGAAATAAACAGTAAAAAATCAATACCAAACACAGTTCAAGGGATGTTTTTGTTTCAAATATTGTGTCATGTATGAAAACAACCTGTTTATCAATAGTTGGCCATTTAGACCATGTGTGTGGTTCTTGGCCTTCATACTAATGTATACCACAATCACATGAAAATAAAAATCCATTTTCACAATAAACAAAACCATTGTTTTTTGCACATCCAATCCTTCATGTATATAATGCCAAATGATATGGTTCTTTACCAAAATACAAGTAGAACCACACACTGCAATACATTCTGAGAACCAAACGGTGCAGAATGAAAGCATTCCCCAGATGCATCATGGAGATCAATATTTTCAACAGCCAACCTTTCCCACTCCTATAACATATCCCACGAGTAAGGTTTACTAAGCTGAACTTTAGATTTTCATTCACCAGTGCCCCCAAGTATAATGAAGCCCTGCACTGCACAAAGACATAGGACCGTCAAACAAAATCTGCCCCCTAGCCCTAGCTTTGCCAGGAATCCACCAGTCCTGTCTGCTTACAGGATATCCCTAAATCTGCTGGTACTGATGAAATTCTTGTGTTGTCATTTGATGGCAGCACTTCAAATAGCATCAATTATCCCTTCAGGCGCTATCCACCAGTATTTTCAACATATTGCCATGGTAACCAATCTAGCCACCAGGTAAGGCATCAAAAGAGATAATGTCAGGTGACTGAGGTAAGCAGTTAAACTAATCCAGCATGCAGTGGCATCCTTCACATTTCAGGGCAGTCTGCCTATTGAATCTAAATATGGTTGATATTATTCTCCAATGTAAAAAATATAAAGTTTTGTGTTCATTGTAATTCCTGCGTTCTGATAAGATGAATTGTCACATGTTATTGCATGCATTTCCTAATGCATGCAGAAAATTAAGCCACGCCCACCGAAGCTGACTACTCTTAGTACTGAAGAATGTTGGGGAATGCCAATATTACATTCAAGGTAATTCCCTTTCTGCTCACATGTATGGTCATGCGCAAGACTTTTTAGCAAAAATACATGCATATTCATTGTCTAAACTTTCCTTTGAGGCTGTAGGCCAAGAAGCAATGAAACAGCAGGTTGTAGCCTCGCTTGCCTGTTTTTCTATCGCACTCGCCTGGGTTCCACAAATTTCCTTTCACTTTTAACCTGCATTTTTCAACCTGTGTCTTCCCATTCTCAGGGAACTAATGTTTGAATCTGGAGGTAACTTACCATATCATTTGAAACAGCAGCCTTCTCTCGGACATATTTGTCTGAACAATCTGACTGTTGCAGTTCTTCTCACCTCTTGCCTTGCTTGACAGGTGCTATGAATTTGTTTTGACCCAACTCTCCGTTGATTGGCAACTGACTTTGTGATTGTGTCAAGCCATATACATAAATTAATCACCTGATTCATGTCGCACCACAGCATGTATTCCAACGCCTGGAATGTTTACCAATCTTGTCAAGTTTGTCTGCCTTGATATATAAAACCGTTTTTGGTTTAACTATTGAGGTAACATGTTTTCGTTGTCGAATTTAACTATAAGGATTGACTGTGTATTTTTCCCGGATCATTGAGGTATGAATATGAAAAACGATGGGCAAACTTTTGAAAGCATCTGCTAATCTTGTTTGGTTAATGAAAGACTGAAACTGATGATAGCATTTACTCTGCCACTAAGATATATGCAAAAGAGTTTTAGTACACAATTATTGTACCTCCAGTCTTTGGCTCGTAAGCTTATAATCATTGGCAAATTCCGGAAGTAATCGTAAATGTCAAATTTTTCCTTTTTTACATAAAGCCTTTTTCTGCAATTTATAACGTTGGCAAAACTAATTAATTTCCATATTCAGTTTATTAATTAGTAGTATTTTCACTTTCTATATCTCGTAACGAAAATGTTCCACATTTTCCCATGGTGCATTTTGTTATCATCTCATCTCGCGCCAAGCTCAGGCTGATGTAGTGTCTTTTCCCAGCAAGCTATTTTCAACGTTTATACTTCATTTCCTAGAAAATAACGAGTAAGTACGCTCCCCATGCTGGCATCCTATTACTGTTATGTTTGCGATTTGTTTGCATAGACAAGATAGTTGTATTTTGCTGTAGTTTTATTTTGTGAACTGCAATGCGCCGGGAGACTGCTATCCTTGCGCAGCCCGTGCCATGTGACTATTCTGTTTGGTGCATATGTCAGCAGAATTGAGTGTTGTCATCCAAATGTATTTACGTTTTCATATAGTATTTTAGTTACGATGTTTAACACAGTACGTAAAATGATTTTAAATTACCAGTCATAATCGGTAGCTTAGCATAGGTGTTTCATGCAAAACACGAGTTAGCTCCCTTTGCCCTTTGTTTACAAGTGTTTCGCAAGTAATTGCCCTTGTGCACTTTCAGTTGTTTATGTCATCGTCTCATCTAAATATTTATACTTATAAATTGTTAAAAGACTTTATTGCCATTTACCATTAAAGTAATCATAACGTTTTAGCTTTTGTAGTAAACTGTAATCTGATAGCACTAACCACGTGGGCGATGTGAACACAGGAGTTACTTCCCTTAGTTCAGGAATTGTGAACTGTGTCTCGTGTCGTTTTGGATGATGATGTCGAGGTGTTGCAAAAGTAGTGAATTAGTTTTCCTTTTTGCATTTTAACCTAGTCCGTAAACATAAATGTTTTACTTCGTAGACTGATAATAATATCACAACATAGACTGTGTTGTGTTGCATTAGTGATTATTGTTGGAGACAAAACCATAACAGTAGTTTTGTTTTCCCGCATAGGAGTCACCATGGAGATGTGTTGCTCCATCTGAAGTGTCTCAGCTGTTTGTAGACTCCTAGAGGGTGAGTGCTGATCAACAGCTACATTAATAATACTTCAACTTTTAATTACCAATTTAGTCACTGTCCATTTTTTATTATCAGTATTAAGTTGTATTTAACTATATCAACCTGTAATTTCATATAACATTCCTTAGTTGTCACCATGTTGGCATGAACTATTCAGAGTAGGATATGTTGGTTTATCATGTAATTTAAATGTATTTTCATCCTGGTGACTGTTACATCCTGACGGGAGAAATATCTACGTCTGAATATTGCTGTAAGAAGTTTGCTATGAATTGAAATGCTTTTTCACCATAATAACTTATGTACACTGTTACCATATGGTCATTTTTATAAGAAATGTTATATGTATTTGTTTTAGGTTACGCCATGGGTGGCTACAATTCTGGCGGCCTATTCATGAAGCTGTCTTAGCTCTAAGATTGGCGTAAATATGTCGTAGCGAAAAACGTCTTAGTTAAGTCTATTCTCGAAGCTGTCTTAGCGTTAAGCTATCTTAAGTTTAAGACAAAAATTAAGACAGGGTCTGACCATGCCACAACCCATCAAAACACGAAAGAAAGATTTTATGACATAGTTGGGTTCCCCAATGTAATAGGGCACGCTGATCGCTATTAATAGACCACCGCATGATGAGGAGGTCGCTTACGTATGCCATAAGGGTTACCATGCCATCAATATTCAAGCAATATGTGATGCTGATCTCCGGTAATTGTACACGGTTTTGTAATAGTAATGAAATTGTATATTGAATGAGAAAGATACATACTGCTATTTCATGCATCGCCACGATCACATTAAATGTACCAACTCGCATAGTTGACCTTGACCATGACCCATTGCGCCCCCTGTCAATAAACCCAGCCAATGACATCGAAGGGGCACAATAAAGGTTTAAGGAAGGGGTTCCTATAAGGTTACTTAATTACAATATTAACAGTTTGTGATGATCATACACACATTGTTCTGTCAGTAGAATGAAATGTGAAAGAAATATGTTTTTGAAATGAAAAATGTATCAAATCCATGACTTAAATGTAAAAGTAATCACTGTCAATGTCAGAAAATGTACACAAATTAATTAATTACTCCCTGGAATTATTGGTGACAATAATATTTAAAATCATTACTTAAAGTAGTATAAAATTATTGGATTTCTTTTCAATTTAACTTACCATGTGTGATTGCGGGATTAAACATATCAACATTTGTTTAAAATTTAATTTAAGTGAATATTTGAAAAGATGGAATGAATGAAAATGATATGTTTGTTTGGTTGTTTGGAAAAACAACAACAACAACAACAATTGTATGGTTTGAAGCAGTAACACCACCATCTCTCCAATATAAAACTTAGAAAATGGTTGACCCATTCTAGGAGATAGAGATAATGAAAATATATTTCCACTATTTCAGGTTCACTAACATTGTCTGTAGATGGCCAGGGGCAACTCATGATGCATTCATGCTGTCCAACAGCAACATTGGCACCAAATTAGAGCAGAATCCTGTGGATGGATGGTTGCTCGGTGACTCTGGGTATAACAACATTCTTATGTGAAAAATAACATCAACATAGTAGTTTTGATTGTAATTTGTAAGTTTATTTTTGCAGAATACCTTTAATAAAGGAATATGTCACAGTTTGGAAATGCTCAGATAAATTGACAGTTTTCAAATAAATTAATTAATAATGATGACATTTATGTTACAGTGAAGGAAAATAAAAACCCATCGATCACAGTCACATATTCTGCAAACACGTCTAACCAACATTTATGTATACTTTACTAAATAGATATGCCTGTCGGCCATGGCTCCTCACTCCACTTTCAAACCCACAAACACCACCAGAGGATAAATATAACCGTGCCCACTGCAGAACCTGGCATGCGTTCAATGGGCCGAGGCGCTTTCTGAGCGCTGACTGAGCGCTCTCCGCGGGTGCACGGGTGTTATCGAATGATCTGGCAACTGCCGTCGGCAGAGGGCGCGGTTTTCAAAATGGCGTTGCAGACAGATTTTAGCAATATTGTAGAACATTGTGTATGTGAAGTATTATTGTTTAGAATAAAGATACAATGAACTTTCCATTAGTTAGACTGTCACTGATCAGACATAAAAAACTCTATTTTATGGCATTATCGTGATATACGTCGACCCAACTCATGTAATCCTACCGACTTATTAACATTGGAAAATCAAAATATAGACTAGATTGTCAGTGACACTTGACAATGAATGAGATTTCTCAGTTCGCTGTACGAGTCACTAATTTGTGGTAGTTGGGCTCGTCGGTGATCAGATATCAGCTCGCTATATCCGTAAGTTCGCTGTAGAGAGTTCGTTATGTACGTAAATTTTACATGATAATATATAGGAGATAAATCGTGGATTTTGTTGCATCCGTTTGTGCGCTCTATCCGTGTTTGTTATATCAGTGTCGTACTGTATTTACAAACCTACTAAATGAAGGGGAATAAATTAAATACATCGGGTAAGACATGTCACTATATTGCCAAAACAGCAAGAACAAAGTCTCATAAATCACAAAAAATAATTAATTACCTATAGGGTTAGAAAAAAATCGAGTTACTAAAAATCGTATGTGCACTGGTGCAATATCGTTTGCGCGCACTAGTATATTTTATTACTTGCGCGTGAAGAGATCACCCGTTTAATAAACATACAGCTGTATTACACATTGTGTAATACCAAAACGCGTGCTTATGTACTCTTGGAACACGTTTCACGAACAAATATTGAAAGCTCTCAACATCCCTTGGCTTATTCAACAACATTGCGTGTGGAGTTGAGTTGAGAGGAGCTTATGCACACTCGATGACCCCAGCAACCTTGTTGCTAGGCTGACGTCACACTGCATTGTTTCGCTGATGGATCTTGCAACAAAATTCAACAAATTACGTCATCTGGTATTGTGACGTTATTGTAAACTTTGAGGTGCAAGGCCCGTTCCACAAGGCGATCGTATTGTAGCGCAACGACAGTCGTTAGTCTGTTAAAGTATGTGAGTTGCGATAGTCTTACCCCTACAATAATTTTGTGAATTCTAAAGGTGAACCGTTGTATGGTATTAAATATGTTTCAACTTTTGACGTGTTTAAAGTATTATTCTGCTTAACTCAATTGGACTATGCCGTGGATCGTGTAGGTGTCAGCCTATTCATACTCAACAGTATAATTCTAAAAACGTTATAAATGGCAACTAATAAATAAAATACTAAACTCGCTCCCGTGTAAAACCAATTTTATTAAACTCGTGAATAGTTGTGGTATCTGAATCGCTTTCGCTCGTCAGATACAACTATTCACTCGTTTAATAATATTGGTATTACACGGGAGCCCGTTTAGTATTCTATATGTATGTCATCCGGGCGGCATTGTTATCGTCTTTCAAATTTTATTCTGACACTAGAAATGACGTCATAGCTGAAGACTGTTGACGTCATTTGACAATTGTGGTTTTCTAAGACGGCGGTTGTGATCAGTGCATTTCTCTAAAGGAAAGCTCAGATGGATCAGGAAGTAATAGGTAACAAAGAAGTTATTACACTCGCATGTTTGTCATACTGATTTTACGAAATTCGTCTAAGAATAAATGTATTACCCTCGCTCTCGTTCGGGAAAAACAATATTTCCTGGGGTGTGTTTTTTTAGTCAACACTTGGGGATTCCTGGTTATGTTTATTGACCAAAAGTAATCTATGCATGCATATTGTATGATTCAACTAAATGGATCGGTGACTTGGTGGATTGTGTTTTATTGTACCCCGACGGCCACTTGCCCCTTTCAGTAACCTCACTGCCTGTCCCCGAATAACACAAGTTGGTCACGAATGCCCCGAAGGCATGGGACGTTGTCCAAATCAACCACTGGTAAAGGTGTCAGGGACAAAATCGATTATTTACAGGCCGCTCTGATATTGCTGGAATATTGTAACTGAAGTAAAAAACAACAATTCGCTATGTTTTCAACTTATGTAAGAGAAAAATATTACTATGAAAATATCTCAATTTACGTTTCCAGTTTCGACAAATGAAGGTTTATATCGCATAATAATACATGTCAAATGTTTACAAAAAGAAATCATATGAGTGTTATTGGGACAAAACTGCAACTTTATACCAAATTTTATTATACATGTATCTTGTTCACAAACAGACGCATGAAAAGGAATTTTTCTGTACTGAAATTAACATGGGTTGCAAGGGAAAATACTCTGTGCTGCGAGGGGTTTCAAAATGCAGCTAAAACAATTGAAATGGCCAGGTTTTAACAAGTGAAATGTCTTCTAATAAATGTATTCACTTGTGTGGTGGTATCAAACTTCACCACTGAGTGCGTGTATGTCTAACAAGTTGTTCCATGTCGAAAATGTAATGTTCACAGGCCCCGCATTTGTCCAAGTCCGCCATCTTTGTCCCTCGGCGTGCCTCCTCCTCAGTATGCGCGGAGGCGCTAGAAAGCGCTCTCAGCGTGCGTTCCGTTCATTAGGAATTATTCGGAGGTGCTCGCAAGCACTCGCTGGCGCCTCAGCGCCAAACAGCTTATTGAATGCACCTCAGAAACACCGTTGAGAGGGCTTTCGGGGTGTTGGAAGTCTAGATTCTGGTATGTATAGCAATAATTACGTAGGCCAAAACAATGTAGATTTTGAAGTTTTTCTTTTAAAAAACATTAAATTATTTCTTTTAAATTTATAACATTATTCATGTTTTATGGAGTCTATAAGTAAGAAAAAATCCATACATGATTGATATATGAACTGAATTGCCACAAGATAACTTTTGCAATCTCTTGCTGTGGATATATAAGATATGAAAATGTGTATAAATGTTACAACAAGATAACATCTTCATATATTTGAGCATAAGTTAATTCAAATATTATTCCAACAAAATTTAATTGTACTATTGTGACTTACAGTTGTCTGGGGAAAACTACAGGATGTGAGTCCATGGCGCACAGATGGCAGGTATCGTCTGCCCGTCAATGTAGGTCAAGGGAATTCCCTTATGGTGTCATGTGAAAACACCCGACTCTTTCTATCTCTGACAGAAGAGAGCTCCCTGTCTTAGCCGCGACAGCTGTCGTAGCTGGGACACGGCTACGATAGGTTTAAGACAGCTTCACGAATAGCACTTATGGCAGTCGTAATTTTTATCGTAAGTAGCTAAGATTTGTCTAAGCTAAGACAGCTTCGTGAATAGGCCGCCTGGCTACTACGGCGAATAAAAGTGATTGAAGAGAGATATTTTGCTTGGTCCTCTTTAAACCCCCACATATAAACAGGGCCCCATCCCACAAAGCAATCATATTTTTAGTGTTACGACTGTCGTCTAGGTTAAAGTATGAATATCTTCTAAAAGGTGAGATCTCTTTGAGGAACAGGGCCCAGGTGATGAATGTGGTCACATTACCATTACTGTATACACGATAGAATGATCATGACAGTATTGCTGTAAGAGCAGCTAACTCCTACAGTCCTACTGATAGTTATATCACTGCAATACCCAATGAATGGCAAGTCTTCACAGAGTTCTCATGTGGCTGTCCCACGGATGGTTACTGGAACCATTTCAACATGCTTAAGTAGTTGCTCTCAGCCTGGTATCTGAAACAGTGTCTTACAAAGATGTGTGGTTTCAGCAAAAACAAATGTGCTGTCCCACAGACTAGCAGAATCTGAGCTTCATGTTCTTTCTTTCACCAGCCAGTCAATAAACCTCCTTGAGATCTCAATAGTGCAAACTAAGCATTAGAAATATTGAGACCATAAAACCTGTTTCTTTGCTGTTCAATGAGAAAATATACATGTTCTTCGAAACCATGTATTTACCGAATGTATGTTTAATTTCAGTGGGAAATGTTTTAAATGATTTGCCAGGACACCAAGATACTGCTTACTTTGATTCCTGCAGAAACTTGGCAGGAACCCATGGCATGTAGGGAACCCGCCGACTTGGAAAATCCATGTCTTTTTATGTTTTCGTTGATTTGTATATAATTCAACCATTTCTGCATCAGTTTGGGCTCATTTCCCTTTGCAATGATATTTCACAAATTGTGCTCTAAGTACTCCCATGTGAGCTATTGAGATAGCCGACAATTACTCTCTGGAGGAACTGATTTATATCTGTAGATATTACTGAATATCTAAGATCACAACAAATGCAAACAATCTGCACTGACTTGCTAGGAATCAGAGATTATCTGTGCTAAGTGAAATTACTCTTTTTGCTTAGTTTATGCTTTCCCACAATGAATAAAGGTTTCTCTCCAAAATTTGAAATCATCTTTACATAGTTGCTATTTAAGGGAAGTAGACGGAATAATTGCATGATTCAACCATGCTGATGCACAGTGCTGCAAGCCATTCACCCAAGAGGCCATCTGCCAGATGAAGTTCCATGGACGTACAACAGGTCCAAATTAATTCAATTTAGGCACAGTTGTACTGTGACTGGCAAACACAGTGCCTGCCAGAACAGGAAATAGAGAGTGCGTGGGTTGGCGCCATTTGACTCCCAATTGGCCATGGGATGAGTATCATCCACACACTGGCTGTGATCATTCATACAGCTTGTTCGGTCAGCACCGACACATGCATCATATTACACTAAATGCTTGGCCATAATCAACCTTAAGTACACTCCGCTGACCATTTTCATATTGGTACATGGTAAAGAGCGGCATCAGGTCAGCTCATGTTGGTTGTTGGTTAGTGGCGGGATAGCTTTATTGGCAAGTTGGGCATGGCAGAAGGTGACTGTCTTGTATAGATCTCCAGATCAATACAAGGTTTCTCTTGGGAATACTGCTGGTATCATACTTGCCATAGCCACATACGTGCTTTCAGGCAAGTTCCAGTGCCATGGAAATCCTTTTTCGATCTATTGAGATTTAGGAAGATGGGATGCCTACATCCTCATTACAATGAGATGAGCTGGTTCCACCTTCCTGACTGGCAGACTAGAAAAGTGATAAAGAACACTGATGCTGCAACTTGCTAGCTGACCTACTGTATCACCTTGACCTACATTCAAGAATGTATGTCAAGGCCTGTGACAGAGCAGCATCACAGTTTCAAACATTTTGTTTAATGTAGATTGAGAACCATTATTGTTTTTACCAAGCTAAAAATTAATTCATGTTTAGACAGAACTAATATATCAGCGGTAGAAACTAACACTTTTAGTCTACTAGCCCTTATAATGATAACATGTAGCAAAACCCTTAAAAATGGGAAATTTCTACTTGTCCTCCCGATTTTTAAAGTCCTTCAGTTTGCACTGTTGTTTTAAGACACTCCCAAAGAACATTGCAGTCAAGGGTTTCATGCCTACAGCAAAATCAATTTCATTCTGGCAGAATGCCAACTGTGAGCAGCTAGCCCAACTTTTAACTACATTTTGATGCAGTCAGATCTTTTTTTTCTTTTTTTTTAACATGTGATGAATTATTCTCACGGCTGGCAGTACAACACATAACTCCAGCACCTTCCACTACAGAAATACCTTTCTAGTATGCATGCAACCACCCATTAGATTCATTTGTTCTCTCTCACACGTAAAAAGAAAGAAATACTATTTAATTGTTTAAAAATCATCCAAGACTTGTCCAGTGAGCATGCTTTGTTGTTGAACATTGCACTCGGCAATATTCCAGCAGCGACAATGACTTGTGTCTGAAATTCAGCAGAGTAAACTGAGAGCCTTAAAGGGGCACTGATCTAACGGACTGGTTGTTGCCTTTGTTATTGTTTTTCCCCGGTGAGTACCCGGATGATACGCAACGCAACTGAGCGTGACCAGAGACTGGGGTACCGTCTGCAAGGACAGCTAAATAAACTTGGAGGCTAGAGGCAATATTTGTTTTACCCATTTTTGAACACTGATTGGTTAACTGTGATCTATAAAGATTTCGACAAGGGGCGCATGTTAATTAATTTCTTCGAACAAGCGAGCTCATGGAATGTCGTCATTTGGAAATACCCCAGATGGTTATAGTTTAATACTAAAAAAAAGTATCCATGCAGTGAAAGCATTTTCGGATTTCGGCTTGCGTCGATAATACCATTACTACTCCCTTGTTGTCATCCACGTTTTCTCGTATAACCCTACACTTGTGTATTTGTCGTCATTCACTTGATGCTCAGTTAATGAATTTATTACAGGTACAATTAGTGGTAGCACCACTTAGATTACCTGACAAAGATTCCCATTTGGCATTTATTGTGTCTGGGGTAATTATTCAATCTAAATCCAGGTTTGAAGTGAGGTGAAATGTGTGTTATGTAATATGCACGTGGCAGCCCAGCAAGAGATGAATGATCAGTTGATTTTTATTTTTTTTTGTAAATCAACGGATCGTTCCTAGTCATCAAAGGATTAACAGAAAATACGTTGATTGATTAATCACTGTTATCTTGCGCAGTGGATATGTCAAGTGTGAGTGTTTACATGTCTAGGTTTACTAAAACAAAGGGAATACACTCATATCATGGCGCGAAGTGCCGATGTAAAAACAACATACTTTGTTCAAAGGGTTAACTGATAATACGTTGATTGATTGATCATTGTTATCTATCACTCAATGGAATTTTTAGGAACCGTGGACGTTATGAAAATAGTTGTCACGTGGGCTTTCTCAGCCGACCATTGAGACTTGACACCTATGTAAAACACCTGAAATAATCCAAACGATCAGTTGATAAAAACGAACACGGGTTATAATATCCCGAAACGATATATATCTTTTAAAATATTTGACATGTGACATCGAATAAGTTTCTTTGTACAGCTGCAGACGAGTGGGATATTGTTCCTTTGTGTGGATATTCACGGATACATTCTTCGAACAAGGAAGCTGCCAAAAACTTATACACATAAATTTGGTAGGTTGTAATTATGATATTTGCATTTTGTTTTCCTTCATTTGAACCGATTCCTTTTTGTTTCTCTACGTCTTGGTTGGGAAATTCTTCAATGCGCGATAGACGTTGTTGTCACAGGTCAAAAGCGTGTATATATTACCGTCAATTTGTAAAATGTGATTCTCTCAGGCAATTTATAAAATGTGTAAATATTTCAGTCATTTTGACTAAAAAATCTGTCCAGATTGATCAAGACGATCAAAAGGGCCTACAAACATCACAACAGATTATTATGTAGGATTAAAAGCCAAACAACTTAGAAATGTACTTTTCAACGTAACATTTTGAGTCTCTTGGTGATGACATTAAACATCAAAATGTTTGGAATTCGTTGTCATAATAATACAGATGGAAATGTTTTTCAGTCACTTTGTAAAATAACTGAACATTTAGACGTTTAATAAATTTGTGACACATCTGACAATAAAAAAATATACACACTATAAAAGAAAGCATATGCTCAGGTGAAATATTTACTTTGTGTTGCAAGTCAAAATAGTGTAAACGAAAATCGCAAAATTACCAAGCAATTGACTTATCAAAACTTCGTCACCATTACCGATGCTACTCACAAAGATACCTACATTTCCTTATTATCTCGAAAACTGTATTTCATTTTGTTGATCAAGGTGACCATACGCCCTTATTACTACCCATAAAAGTGACTAATGCGCTTACGAATGGCGCAGCAGAGGTCGCGAACTAGTCTAGATTTCTGCTATACATCCGGCTACTCACTGGGAAAAAACAATAACAAAGGCAACAACCAGTCCCGGGGAATTGCGTTAGATCAGTGCCCCTTTAAGGGCCAGCACATGTCAAAAACTGTAGGCCAAACATTTCAGTTGAAGCTATTACTGCTATCACACCAGAGACTCTGTGGTTATAGAGGAAGCCTACATTTTTCAAGGAAATTATCAGCTTGTAAAATATCACACACTATTTGACAGGTCTAAATCTACTGTTTATAGATATGAAAGTTATGTTTGTTTGTTTCTTGTTTAACGCCGCACTCAGCAATATTCCAGCCATATGATGGGTCTGTAAATACTGTATTCAACGTAAGAAGCGCCCAGGGCGCTCTCAAAATTTGAAATAGGGGGCTCTTATTAGAATATTATTTTGGGGGAAAAAACAGAGTTGAAAGATAAATGTCGTGGTTTATGCTGATAGCCTGAAATGTTTATGTATGACAGATATATTTTTCCAGAATTTAATTGCCCATAATTAAGGGTGCATATAACACACGAGTGCGTATTATACGCGAATAAATAAGTCTTGTGTAAATTGATCAACTGGAAGGGGTGATAATTGGGAGCAAGTGTTGCCGTGGGGGCTTATTAGAGCAGGGCGCTTATTATGTCGAATACGGACCAGTTTGGACCAGAAAACCAGTGAGTGCCATCATGAGCATTGATCCACGCAATTGGGATACGATGACATGCATAAGCCGAGTCAGCTAGCCTGACCACCGGTCGCCTCTTGTGACAAGCATGAGTTGCTGAAGACCTATTCTACCCCGGATATTCATGGGTTGAAAGATATTTTTCACATTATTTGAATAATGCATTCATAACTTAAGTTAGTTTTTGATAAAAAAAATATATAAAAAAATAATTAATTTTTTTTAAGCTAACACATTCATAACGTCCAGATTGAGCAGCATGGAAGCGAACATTATGGTGATATTCAGGAAATTTAAAAT